TGGGTTTCCGTGGACGAATGCCTCTCTCGTGGCGTTTCCCAGAGATCTATAGAGGAGAATGGTGTAGTTGGGCAGCTGGTGGTCGGGTTCGACGCGATGTGCTCTTATTGCAAGAAAATCCCAGCGAGATGGATGAAGAACCACCCGGAAATCGTTCACCTCGCTCGCCAGATGCGCTGGGTCATCCCAGTCTGCCATTGCCGCAATCATATCGCTAGCTGCGAGCCTCTATTCCTCTACGTGTATAAAGAGGGAATCGGGGAGTTCAAGGCCGAAACAGCTGAGCTGGCCTGGGATTACCTGAATGCAATCGGTCCGGCGATACGGCAGATGACTTTGGGAGCTCGCGAGGACGCGTTGAACTGCCATATTGGGGACTGGAACTGGAGAAAACTGGTGGGAATCGGTAAGTCTTCCGTACCGTTTTTAATTATTATACGTACCACTGATTCATTCAAAATTTAGCCCGGCAGCTTTTCAACGAGATTATTCGCCTCAAGGACGCTCACATCAAGAAACGAGCGTATTTCTCTGGTCTCTGGGCCATCTATGGGTCAAAGGCTACTGAGTGGGCCAAGGAAGACAGGTCGCCAAAGGTTGATTCCCGCCGAAAGCTTGCGGTCAAATCTGTATACATGCACGATGAAGACGAGAAAGGTACGTTTATCGCACTCTTATAAGTCAGTTCAAAGACCGATCCTCTGTTCTTCATAGCGCCGAACCTCAAGTCTTTGGTAAATTGGATGAAACGCTCCAGCGAGGGTTTTGAGACGCCATCAGGGACGAGAAAAGTTGGCGCCATAGCTCGCTTTCTAGAAGAGGGAATGGCTCTGGCCTTGGCCCAGTAAGAAAAAGCTCCCTCATTCAGCTTTATCACTCACTCATCGCCCCTTTCAGAGACCATATCAGACGCTTCGCACGAAAATGATCCAGCGCCCAATCCAACTCCGATTTATCCTCTCGCCGGAACCAGCTTGCCGAACGCTTGAAACGCTTTCGGAAAAAGCAGGGGAACTTGATGGATTCAGACGCTGCAGCCAGGTTTAGGGGAAGCCTGCCCTGTCATCCGGAGGAGGAACCGTTATGCCTCCCGGCAGATTTCGACGAGGATGAAAGGCTTAGCTTCAAGCTAGCAGCCATGGCGCAGAAGCAGGCCCTCCTCGTCAATAGCAAGCTTTTCGAGTTGACGAAAACCCTCAGAAGGGATGTTATTCTGCTCACAGCTGCTTATGATAGGAAGAATAAGCATGACCGGGGTCAGCAGCCTAACACTCGAGCGATGGTTCAGGTGAACACACTTCGGTCCAACAGGGACGAACACCTCAAGGACTATAACTTCTTTCGTGCTATGCTAGCGCGTTTACTCGTATTGGAGCCTGAGGAATGGCCGGTCTTAACCGTCACAGACACTTACCGCAAGTCCACGGAACAAAGACGGGTACCCGGGTCGTCTGGTACGCTGGAAGGCGTACTCTGGAGCAACCTCGGTAAATCAACTACGTTACCTGATGGCGATGGGGATGTTGTTCCAGAAGAGTTGGATCTGGAGCACGAGCCTGAGCTCAATGCGGACGTCTTTTTCTTCGGTGAGTGTCAATTATCTAACTTCTTTCTTACTACTCAACTCCCTTCGTAGGAACCAGAATGACGAAAATGAAAGGTAAGCCTTCCATGACCGTTGCCCTGAGAATGTGCGCCTGACTGCCGAACGAAGGTCATGGGCCGCCCAAAAATAACAAATCAAAGATCGGCATAGCCCGTACAGAGCCTGCGAAGGAGAAAGTCATAGAGGAGGACGAGGACTTTGAATCGGATCCGCCGACGAAAGACGGCTGGATATGGTCTGGGAAAGCCTTGAAAGAGATGACGGAGACGGAGATCGAACAATGGGAAAACACTTGTAAGTGTCCAGTTCACACCCCAATCACGTCGAGAATCAATTCCGTGTCAGCCGACAGGGTCCAATTCTTTCGTGCGGAGGCTGAGTACGAGCGTGCTCTGGAAGAACTGGAGTACAAGCATGGCTGCTTCGGCAACACAATCCGGTACTTCTTCGCCAAGCGAGATGTATGGAAGTCTTGCTTGGGCAAGGGCCTGGGCGCGGGATTCGAAGCTTATGCACGAGAACACGCCGACATGTTCCAGGCGCTACGGCTCGATGCGGAGGCCAAGTTCCGCATATGCGGTATCACCACTCTCATCGATGAATCCAACGGAAAGACACTGGCCGAACGGGTGATCAAATTCCGCAAGGCAGAGGAGGAGTACTTTCCTCGCAACAGGTCGGTACAAACAAACCTAAGGACTTGTGTTAGGTCACTGACATTGATGGCTATAGGAATGCGAACAGGCCCCCGTTTAAAGATCCTACCGTTCACTCCTCTGGCTTTCAAGACACGAGGGAAGGTGCCGAAGAGGAAGGATAGCAACGTGAGTCAGACTGTGCCTCTTAAGCTGACGAGCTGGACTGACGAATTCACCTGACAACTTAACCCACTTCCCTTCCTGCACATAAACCGGGCACTTAAACCGACCACTTAATCCCTCGACTTGTACTTGAATCGACTATTTAATCTGGACACCTAATCCCTCGACTTGATACGGACGCTTAATCCTTTGACTTAATACGGACACCTTAATCTGGACACCTAATCCCTCAACTTGATACGGACACCTAATCCCTCGACTTAATACGGACGCTCAATCCCTCGACTTGATCCAATCCCTCCTCGGATACTCAAACCGACGACTTAATCCCTCGCTTTGACCTGCATATAAACCGTCAACTTAATCCCTCGGACTTTGACCTGCACTTAATCTGGACGCTTACTCCTTCGACTTAATCCCTCGACTTAATCTGGACGCTTACTCTCTCGACTTAATCCCTCGAACTTGCCTGTACTTAATCCAATGACTTAATCCGGTTACTTAAACCCCCTAGATTAAGTGTAGTATTGCAGGATGTATTCGATTAAACTACTGAATTAATCTGGATTATACCTATTTCGTTCCGACCGCCCATAGATTAAAAATCCTCGTCCCATTGTAGGAGCGATCGCAAGGGGTGCGGGGGAACCCAACACCTAGCATATCGTCCGGGAAAGAAGAGAATACACCGGCACCAAACTGAATGCAACCATTAGCAACTTTTAACTCTATCCATGGGCAAAGAGTCGGAATATCACAAAAAGGTAGGATTGAAGCGCATGGACAACCGACGCACTCATCCCGCAGAGTCAAAAACGGAGCAGAGCTGAAGCCAAGAGTCGAGAAGGCAGGGCAAACCATAACCCGGAATGCAGTTGTAACCAACCACCCCACCCGAACGGAAGGAAACAAGGATATGAGAAACGAGGAGAGACGCGGGGAAGCTCTTGAGATCGTCCAGACGGTTCGGAAAATAAAGGTCAGATAACAAAAACGTCGCAGGCCATTGAAGTGAGATGAAAGGGAGAATATGACGCCGCGACGAAGAATTGCAGAAGGCGAAATGAGTGTACAGAGGAAGTGAGGGCCATAGTAGAAGAGACGAGGCCAACATCTTGTATTGAGGCGACTGGGAGGAGTCATGGACGTGGTATAATCAATAACGCGAGCAAGTTAACCATTCAACAGTCACCACCACTTTACCAGCAGCACCAAAGAGAACGCCTCTATGCCTTCTTGTCATATCGAAACCGTAGGCTTAGGAGTAGTGAACGGGATAGCGCGGAGACGCAGTGACGAAGCGTCCACTGGTATCGTGTGTCGTTGCTGGGCTGGACGAAGAAACCAACAATAGCACCCCCTTGACCAACGAGGAGACCCGGCAATCACCTCAACTCGACCAAGAGAGATTTATATCTGAGACGCGGGTTGGGTGTAGCGGCATAATGGCAATGCCTCCATCGGAGAGGATAACGGGAAGCAAAAAAAACAGGACGAGACGACTATTGCCGGTGATCACCAGTTCACCAACGCACCAGATCGAGGGGATCGAAGGAATCGCAAGTGAAAACCTCTACATCGTCATATTTCGATGAATGGGGGAACGTAGAAACGCAGCGACGAAGTGTGACCTTGCCAAGTGCTCGTTGTTGGACAACCACAACCACAATTGATAAACCAATGATGGCTTCACCACGACCGGCCAAGAAACCCGACGATCAACCAGATTGCAAAACAGAACTGCCCAAAGGTGCGATTGAGATGCATGGATAGCAAGCCAACCCAAACGCGAACGGAAAGAAAAGGCGAGGAACGGAGTGACGCATGGTTGCAGACAAAGACCTGACGAGGGCCCCACTACCCGTGAGGGCAAAGACAAGGATGAAAATAACCCAGTCGGCGTCATCCAGTGAGGTGCAACGCCATAACGCCATGTTATCCAAGACGTAGGCCTAGGTGTAGCGACACGAAAGGGACCGGGAGACGGCACAGAATTGGCAAATCCTGATAACCAAGCCTCGAGCAACAAGAGCTATGGAGGGGAAAACATGACTGCTGCGTCAAATCTTCATATTCATGCTTGTATTTTCCCGACTCGCCCAAAGCCAGTGACACCAGGATCAGGAACCTACGCAAAATTGTCAGTCATCGCCATGTAAATCATTGAATCAACCGAAGGAAAGGTAGCTGGGTAGCCAGAGCGACGAAAAGATAGAGTTGTAAACGAGAACCGAGGCGTACCGGTACTACCGGTACTACCCACAGCATCCTACCCGCAGTACCCATATTAAGCCTCTTCAAAGTCCCTTGTATATTGCCTCCAGTTCAACCTTGATTTCCAGATAGACATAAATAAGAGTGAGCGAGGAAAATGGACCACCTCGTAACAAAAAGCTCACCTAGTCGTATAGAAAGCTCTCTATCTGGCTTTTGACAGCACTTTGTTGCGATGGTCGTGGTTCGGGTTCAAGAGAGATCAGATCACGTCATCGAAGAACAGGACTCGAGCTCGAGTTCTCACGCGAGTAGAATTAGCAGTTTGACCAGGAAACAAAAACGAAATCCTCATACAATCCGACCTGCCTGGTTCGAACAGGCGACCCCAAGATGAAGGTACCTGCGGTTCAACGATTACAGTCTTGTGCTCTTCCAACTGAGCTAAGGTCGGATGTATTCATTACAGTTGGGGAGTGGCCGATATACCAGAGCCAAATTGATGTCAAGTCGTGGGTATACTCGTTATCAATCAACCCTGTCGTTCGAGTTCCATGATGCTAATCAACCCCTCTCTAACTAAACCACTTCTATCCAAACATGAAGCGATACGAGAGGTCAAAGCGGCGACTTGATCGGGTAAGATGATGGATCCATGGATACGAACGATCAAGTAAAAATACCAAAGCCTTTAGCCCCGTCTCCACAGAAAGGAATTTATCGGATCAAAAGGGAGCAATATGACCCCTGCCCGGGTTGAACGGACGACCTTCTGGATACCCAGCACATTGGTGTATCCCTGCTTCGCCACACTGTGAGTCAGACTCAGGTAGCTATAGAGCCACAATAAAGACCTTGACGTTCACCCGGGATCCTTGTATATATTCAGACTCCTGGACTCGTAATTTGGTTGCTCTGGAAACTAGGAACAATTCACAGAAACGGTTCGTTGTTGAACGAATTTGATTCAATCAAACTTGAGTAAAGGAGCGGGAAAAATGTAGTGGATTAAGCAATCGCTCCGCTTTTTGCGGGGCTGCACATAGTTAAATGGGTGGGAGAACGTGTTACCCAAGTGAAACCGTCAGATCATTTGCTTGGCTTCCTGTACATTGAAGTAGGATTTGATGGGACAAGTATGACTACAAAGGATACAGCATCCTATATGTCCACAGCTCAATGAGTCATCTGAGCGAACTAAAAGCCATGCACTCATCTTCACTTACTTACCTTCATCATGGATCTCTTATTCACAAAAGAATCCCCCAAGAACACCACACTTACTCTCGCCTCCGGAGATCTGGTCTATGAAATATTGACCCCTCTCCGACCCTTTCCAGCTACGACGATTAGAAGACACTCACCTGACGGAGGTCATCTTGACGACATTGGCGTCGTTGAGTCTAACAGCTTCTCAGACGTATGTCGAGTACGGGGAGCGAGTTTTCTCCCCGAGAGCTCTTCGGTTTGGACCCAGTACGTCCGTTGTTCTTTCAGGTGACCTTGCACAGAGTTGATTCGCAGTTGACCGCCAGAGACCTGACCTTCACTTCGTCAAACGGAGAGAATTATACATGGCGTCGTGAATCAAGCAAAGCTATCGTGCGTGACAATGATCTACTTAGTTTGCAATCACTGGACTCAAAGCCGCGGTGACAGTTGGAGGACAAGAACAAGAATGCCGTAGCCACTTACGACAAAAGCCACACAGGCTTCTTCAGGAGATCTCGACCTGCAACATTATCTATCTCAGCAGAGGTGATGAATATCATCGACGAAATTGTCTGTACTTTCTCTTACATCAAACAAAAGGAGTGCAATGCAGGAGAAGCCGGCAGTGGGGGTTATGGTGGTGGGTACAATGGCGGGGGAGGTGGTTACTATGGCGGGGGAGGTGTTTACGATGGCGGGGGAGGTTGTCACGATGGCGGGGGAGGAGGTTGTTAACAAGTTCGGCAATCTCTCCGGAGCCCGAGTACTACAAATATAGCCCATGATCTAGATCCGTTATAAATTCTAGTCGGAAGTGCTCTTGATGCCATCTACCTGGAATTCACCATTCTGCATCCCCAGCATACGGGTTAGTAGCATAAGATGAGAACAAACAAAGGGAATACAAAGATCACAGTCTCTGAGCGAATTGCCCACCACGAGGGTCAAACTCGCAGCCTTCGGATTACCTATACATGTAAGTGTTCAATCGGCGATATAAGGACCTGGTGCCCGATCCAATTGGGCTAGGCGGGCGGCTAATCGAAAGGAAGGGAGCATGGGAATGGCAGTTGGTTAAGGCTTTCCGGATCTCGGAGCCGAAAACACCACCAGGCATTGGCTTTTGACCACATCCATCACAACGACTGACGGGACAGCGACTTTTTCCATTACCCACAACTAAATACTTGATGTTTGATGGTTTTTTGTTAAGCTTGATGACAACAATGGCCTCCAAAACGGTCTATTCCCCTCTTCCAAAGAGGACGTAAATACCAGGAGGTTGGGGCAGCCGGGGAGCGTTGTGTGCGGCTAGAGGTATGTATTGTCTTTTCCTCTACTAGTTTCTGGAATCACAACTAGGTAAGATGATGGGTAATCTTTCTCGCGTTTTGCCTCTACTTACAGCTTGTTGTACAACTCTGATCCGACCTGGACCGCTAATTTAAGATGCTCGAGGTTCAGCGCCTCATGACAATGGTTTCTCACTGGAGCAGGTCTGAGTATAATCAAAAGGTGCTCAGGTACGCTCACAAGATTTGTTTACATCTCTGTTATTGGAATGCTCTGACTGTCTTTGCAGGATACGAGCCGCAAAGACACTGAATGAAACGTATTACTCGATTCGGAAACCCCAGACTTGACAGCTGTGACCGTCACCATCAGGGAGCCCCTTCACCTCACCAGCCAATCTTCCGGCCTGTCAGCTGTTTCTGACAGTCTGCTATGACTAGATCCGTTCCGCAAGCTCGCCAATCGTCTCACGAGAGTTTTTCGTCTCGGAAAGTTAGCAGCATCTAAGCCCACGGCTGGGGGTATACTTATTGCCAGAGTCGGCGCCGTGAGTGATGGTTCAGTGACCTCGGAAATATGGGGCTCGATGCCCGCAAGATATCGCGCCATACAATGCGGGATGGAGACGAGGTTTCTCACGATCTATTATAGGTTATGGGTTGAGTGTCAAGGGAATTGAAGGTGATTGACTCACCAACGATTACCCTTGTGTAAACTCTCATTCAAACCCAAAATATCTGAAGCTTTCAGCAGTCAGAGACTCACAGTACAAATGGGGCTCTACATTCACTGTCGCTGCGACCGCTCGTAGGATCTACTCAGTGAGAGATACGTAGTTGCATGTTTCCAGTTGTACCAATTGAGCACAACTTCGACTCTGGTTAAATTTAATTCCGAAAGAACCGTGCTCAAATCAGATAATGAGTAGGCAATACCAACTGACTGGTGGTTTTCCTGATTCTCGTTCATTGTTGGTCAACCTGCAGAGTCCTCTCCGCATTGGGATTTTGATCAAGTGTCAGTGCAAGTGTTTGAACTTTCATTGATGCAGGTTCTAATCCCAGCTGAACCTGTGGACTACTTTTTGACTTCAGACAATGATATAAGTGTACCATCTCCACGAAACTTTGGATCTTGCGAACAGTGTCAAGATGAGATCTCAGACCTTACTGAAAGGGATATAAAAAATGCACAGACGACCTTGCTCCTTGCTCCCAGATGACGACAACACCCGGAGAGCTGTTGACCCTACTGAGAGTGTGAAGTATGTAAAAGGGCATACACGAAAACGGTAGACACACGGTATGGGTTGGAAATCTACTCGTAATCGTGTCCAAAACATGCACAATTCTGAACCCACCGCCATACATTTGCACAACTTTGCGGATCTACCAATTGCTATAGAATGTCTGCGATGTTTGCTAAATAACTACATTATGGTGTAGTGGCTAACATTACCATCTCTCATTTTATGGGAGGCTGAGTCGTGCGCAATAACCCAGGGTTTGATTCCATTACATGGAATCATAGAGGTCTAGAGATGTTTGCTTTTTCTTTCTGTTGAGGGCCTATCGTCAAAATTGCACATGTATCCTGATCAAAGAAAGAGAGAGGGGAGAGAGAGAGAGAGAGAGAGAGAGAAAGGGACATGTATGCACCTGGTTAAATAGATAACGATCGGACCGAGAATACTTATGGGTCAGCAATCTTTCCTCTCAATCAATGGATTTTTATGAAAGGAACACTTTTGGATTGACTTTTTGTTCCTTGCCCACTTGAAGTTCAATAGAGCTTAAAACCTAGAATAAGTCCAATTCAACGACAGTCACTCAAGTTTGAACTTAGCCCAGAAGCTATCCATCTGGATCCATGTTTCGTTCCCAATTCCCCTCACAAAGTGGACGAGGAACACATTCATGCCGCTGCACGCATCACCCACGCGATGGTTGACCTCGCACCCTTCAGGTAGCTTATCCGGGGTACTCCTACTGTAACAATTCGAGAGTTCATTGCCCCTTCTATCCGGCGGGTGGGCACTCGGAAAGAAGAGAGTCAGGAAGTGATATCTTGAGCAAGTTTAAAGCTCCCCTACTGTCTACCAGAGGGGAGAAAACTCAGTCCTTGTTCAGAGAATGGTAATCACACTCGGCTCAATGCAAAGTTGATAACAAGAAATTCGACTGATAGTTAAATCACACAGCTAGCTCCCTCTGTTTGGGCAAGATGAGTCACTGTGCATGTCGGTTACATAGTATGGGTACTTTCTAGATATAATAGCTGAGGGGAGAGGAGGCCTAATGCACCGCAAATCTCTTTATGGAGGCAGTGGACAGAATCAAGCTGAGATAGTTGGCCGGAAACGTGAGCGAGGAATCATCCCCGTCACTTACGTTGAGGCTATTCAGTGTAGCGGGCGGCGAAACTCCGCTGTTTGAAAGAGCAGCAAGGCGATGCTCCTGCAGCTCAGCGTAACTTCGAGTTGTTTGTTGGTGAAAACCTCATTTGAGTGCCGCGGCAACGTCATCGGCGCTAATGGCCAGCCCAGGGGCCAGGCAGCGACTCGGCTAAAAGGCTGGTGCCCTGACAACGCCTTTGCACAAGGACACCGGGAGGGGCCATCCTTCCAACACTCAAGCTATTGATGTCCATGGTCGTCAACGCCTTGTAATTGCTTTGTAATTTCTCTTGGTTCCCACATTACCAAGCGGAAGTGATGTTAATACGTACGAGAGCAGTGTATCTGATCGTAGCTGCATATAACATCCTCACTGGCCCCCGCGCCTTGTTGCATGGTGATGGTGTTAGCTCCGGAATCTTAACTTGTAATTTAGCTATTCTAGGTACGATCCACAAAAACTGTTCACGGTTTAATGAACTCAGTTCAATTGATTTGTTCATATTTAAATGAACTTCGGGACAGTCATGACTACGGGGGATACATAGATTAACAGCTTTGAAGTTTACAAGTCATCTGGGCAAACTAAAAGGAAGGCACTCATCTTTCTTTACTTACCTTCATTATGGATCTTTTGTTCACAAAAGAATCCCCCAAGAACACCACACTTACTCTCGAATCCGGAAACCTGGTCTATGAAATATCGACCCCTCTCCGACCCTTTCCAGCTACGACGATTAGAAAGCACTCACCTGACGGAGGCCATCTTGACGACATTGGCGTCGTTGAGTCTAACAGCTTCTCAGACGTATGTCGAGTACGGGGAACGAGTTTTCTCCCCGAGAGCTCTTCGGTGTTAACTCAGTACGTTCGTCATTCATTCAGATGACCACGCATAAAGTTGATTCGCAGTTGACTGCTAGAGACCTGTCTTTTACTTCATCGAACGGAAAAACCTATACGTGGCGTCGTGAATCGGGCAAAGCTGTCGTACGTAACAATGACCTACTTAGTTTGCAATTACTAGACTCAAAGCCGCGGTGACAGTTGGAAAATAAGAGAAAGAAGGCCGTAGCCACTTACGACAAAAGTCACACAGGCTTCTTCAGGAGATCTCGACCTGCAACATTATCTATCTCAGCAGAGGTGATGAATATCATCGACGAGATTGTCTGTACTTTCTCTTACATCACACAAAAGGCGCAGAGGCATAATGCAGGAGGAGCTGGTCATGGGGATGATGCCTGTGGTGGTGGTGGTGAGATTCTGGAGATGGTTGGGGAGATTCTTAACATGGCAGGGGGAAATTAGCAGGGGAGGTTGTTACGATAACGGAGGTTGTTAACGAGCCCGAGTATAGCTCAGAATCTCAATCCGTCATATATTGCAGTTGGAAGCACTCTTGATGCCATCTATCTGAAAGTCAACATTCTGCTTCCCCAGCGTGCGGGTGAGTAGCATGAGATGAGAACAAACAAAGGGAATCCAAAAAGTCACTGTATTCTTGCTACCGACAACTACTAATGGTCAATCGTACGCGACAACGTTCAAAAAATTGGACAAATTGCACCTTTTTTGCACGCGGCGGGAGTTTCACATGGGAAAGTTGAACCTGGAGGAATCAGTGAGATGCAATATACCCTCAGTCTCATTCAATGTGGCCAAAGCTGTCTCTAGCTGAAGTCTTGAGCAATACTCTAGGTAGTAAGATTGTGGAAGGTCAATGGAGGACACAAAATGAGGAAAAGTGTGATAGTGGGTAACATTTTGCTGCTTTCATCTGGCGCGAGTTACACCGGTCCAAGGAGCCCTTTTCCGTGACATTTGGAGCTCGCACAAATTGTTCTATTCCACAACAACCACTTCACCATCCACCAATCTAAATCGCACATTCCACTTGAAAACACATCAGTTATACCTAGAAATTTTTCTCTCTGGCCGGAAAACATTGTGCGTGAAATCGGAGGCTTCCCGTCTTAAGGAACCCAAAAGACTGTACGGATCCGACTGCCACCGGTATTGTGTACTTGCGTTGTGACGTATTGATCAAATCATTGCCTCTCATGATTCGACCGAGTTTGAAAACAAGCGCAATAACCTAGGGTTCGGTTCCCTGTAACGGAAATCGATGATTCACCTGATCTATTGCAAGACTGAGATGCATCCGGCGAGTATTTGAGTGTTGGGTCCTTTCGATTCAGAGTTTGATGGACTGATTTTCTCGTAAATACCACGGTGACATGCCGAGCTGAGAGTGATAGCTGAGCGTGGAACGAAGACTCATGGCTGAAGAAACGAAAAACATCCCGCGAGAGTGTATAGCCCACCAACTCGCAGCCTTCAGATTACCTAAAATGGATGTATCTGCCATAAGAGTCTGACGCTCTATCCGGCTGAGCTAGGCGGGCGGATAGCGTTGAAGAAGAAGGTGATTCAATGGGGGCTTCCAAAGTTGACGGCGAAGCATGGGCTATCACCGGATTGTTTGTCCCCCGGGGTCCTCGGCGACCAAATATGATTGTCAATGAGGTCAAGCCTTGGACGGCAAGCTGGTATGTGGTGGGAGGCAAACCCTGCCAGTTTAAACTCCGACTCGAAATGTTCCCATCGGCCAAATTGGTATTTTCAGAGGCAAATTTCAGTATCACGCTGTAGACACACATTCACGCTTCGTACTAGGGGAACAAATTGTACTTAGAGGGAAAATAAACAACTTGTTCAGACCCGCGACTTTTCATTCATTGGTTTAGACTGATTTCACCCCTGCATATCACGAGAATCTACTACTTCCGGCAAGTATCCCGGCTCGGGGGTCTGAAC